GTACACACATATGCAATTAACAGATAAACAAATTGGGTTGATCAACAGAGGTCCAAAGCATGCAAACTCCCATGGGGCCTATTCTGATGGACTTTTTTTTATTGTTGACAGCTGCAGAATGATTAATTCCTAATGCTTTTTGGTTTTAATTTTGATTTTGTTAACTTAATAATAATTTAAAAGGTCAAACTGTCAAAAYGTGTTTTTGGAGTTTCAGGGAGTTGCCCTGCGTTATATTAGGTTTTTGGAACTTGTTATGACTGTTTTTCTCTAATTGCCAATTATAGATCACTGGGTACACAAATGAGCTTTTTTTCTGGGCCTCTACTGGCCAAAATGTCTTGTATGCAGTTTAATTAACAGAAAAGCTTCATATGGGCAGATAAAATTATTCCAACCACTGTGGTGACTGTGAGTGTGTACTTGGGAAAGGGAGAAGGGAGACAGAGTAGGGTGAGAACAAGGGGAGGGGTCAGAAATGGTTCAGGGTGTGGTCAGGTAGGTGTATATAGGATGTTTACAGTAGGGTTAATCTAATCAAAATAAAWGAGATTATTTAGAAAAGTTACTTCTAATTTACTGTACTGATAGCAGGTTGGTCTCTGTGGTCACTTCTTCTAACCCATCATCAATCACACAGCAAAGCCTCAGTTGAACTGCTCAAGTGGTGAAATTAATACAAAATACAAACACTTTTTTACACGTTTGCTGGATTTATCCAACTTATTAAATAACACATTTAAAACTCTTGAACAAATTCATGTTTCCCACCATCATGCCAGAGTTTTAGACTCATATCATCCTGAAGAGCAAAAAACGAAAAATTTATCTGGTGGTTCACGAGATGTTTTGCTAACAGACAGACTGTGTTGGCTTTAATTTTTAAAGGGATCCCCGATTAGTTGTAACATTAGACTTTATTTAAAACATGTATTTTAACTGTAAAATAAAGACTGTAAAAATACTACTGTAGGCTGTTTAGTTTTTATCATTTTTAAAAATATATTTTAATACGGACGGAGCCATTTTATTTACACGCAAAGCATTCTGGGTAAATGATGACGTGGATAGGTCATTGGTGTGAGTGAGCTATATCTAACCTGAAGGTTAATCTTGGACAATATCTGACGATTGGCTAATTTAAATGAAACCAGAGAGCAATGACAGAGAGGAGAAGGTAGAAACAACTCAGCCTGTAACTGAAAATATGGATAGAGGACAACAGAGCTGCTTCATGGAAGAAGAACCTCAGCTTAGCCTGTTAGCCTTYGCGCTAGCACCGACGCTATGGCCCTTTCCCAATCAGTGGCTACACACTCGCCCTACTCCCTACTCACTCAGTTTGCGCGTTCCCGTGGAGGGTTGGCCATATTAAGTCCCATCTGAAACCAATTAGGTACGAGGACGAGTGGCTTATTAAGCCCTCCACACTGTGTCTGCATCCGGTGCAGACTTGAGCAGCAGGTGCAGCACCAAATAATGGTCGGCTTGGAGCATGGGACATATAAATAAGAATTCCGCATATGTTTTTTACACATATTTACTAAGTAAACACATCACCAACAAATATGATTTCACATAAATCATGTTTAATTCAATTAAAACTGTATTAAAGACACAGAACCATGGTCCACATTTAAAAAAGAAGAAAGGAAACATTTAAAAAATAAAGAAAAAATAAATTATTTTAAAAAATGTTAAAAGTGTAATTATTTTGACAAGTTATCACACTGTGTTTGTTACAAATACAGTCATATCTGAAAACTCTCTAACATGTGGGCCTAATTAAATATTTTCTTTGGTCCTATTAAAAAAGTGTTTGTTCTCCAGCATTCAGTCGCTGCCAGAGGTTGGACTGTTACCACGGTGATGACAGCTTCCTGTTCCGGTGGTGTGAGGAGAGCCTGTCTCAAAAGCAGAGGGTGTATACAGCGCCATCAAGGGGACTCAGTTCAGCTGCAAGGGTGCTTCA